TGCATAGATGCCACCTTTTCCTTCTCGGCAACTGAGGGCTCAGCCAAACCCAGAGTACAGAGGGATTCCCAAATGGCACTTACCTCCATACCTAACACAGTACCTGGCACACAGAAGGGCTCTTCCTTTTAGTAAATGAAATGGGAGGGCACTGACAGAGTGGTAACACTGGCAGTGACAGCCTCCCTGAAAAAGGGGGTAGAACAAGTGACAGCAGTTGACTGCAGTGCCAGCTGCTTCTCTGGACGGCTCGGGGTCCATCCAAACACCTAACCAGGGGAAGGACAGAACTTGGGAGATTAGGTCCCGCAGTGTCACTGGTGGAAATTCAGAGCCGTAGATGTTGGCTGCCACATCCTTAGTGCTCTTTTAGGCTGGTGTGATTTATAGATCGTGTTCTAGCAAATACCTCCAACATATGATCCCAAGTCATGAGGTATTCTAGAAGGTGCTTAAAAAATGGCTGTAGTATCCCAGAGATTTGTCCATATCTGTTGTTCTTAGTTTGGGAACATCTTTCATAGTGCATCAGTGTTATATCAGCAGGGAATGCCTCACAACTATTCGGTGGATGAAACTGCCCAGAGGCACTGAAGATTGGCCCAAGATCAAAGGGTCAGTCAGCATAGTTTTTGTTTAGCAGGGCAGGGATGGAGGACAGGCAGAGAGTTAAGGGATGAAGGCCCTAGTTAGAAAGTGGTTGCTCTGATATGGGAAGGTCTAAACTGGAGAAGGACAGAGGGTAAAGTTAGATGATAGACCAAGTGAAAGGAGAGTAGGAGGGTTAAGTGAGAAGTTGACAGTTAAGATTTCAGATGTAGACCAGTTCTGAATCAGGGACAGGTCCAAGTGGGGTGGGAGTAGGGTTTGCAGTGGAATAAGTGGGGAGGTTGTACAGTTGAGATGGTCAGGTAGATTTGACTTACAGTTTTTGGATGGGTGATCTTATGTGAACATTGAAGAGGTGTGTGAAAGATGACTTAGCCAGGTGTTGAAGTCTTTTTTTTTTTTTTTTTTTTGTGATGGAGTCTTGCTCTGTCTCCTAGGCTGGAGTGCAGTGGCGTGATCTTGGCTCACTGCACCCTCCGCCTCCCGGGTTCCAGCGATTCTCCTGCCTCAGCTTCCCAAGTAGCTGGGATTACAGGTGCCAGCCACCACGCGTGGCTAATTTTTGTATTTTTAGTGGAGACGAGGTTTTGCCATGTTGACCAGGCTGGTCTTGAACTCCTGACCTCAGGCGATCCGCCCTCCTAGGCCTCCCAAAGGGCTGGGGTTATGGGCGTGAGCCACTGCGCCTGCCCCCCCTCCCCTTTTTTTTTTTTTTTTTTGAAATGGAGTCTAGCTCTGTTGCCCAGGCTGGAGTGCAGTGGTGCAGTCTTGGCTCACTGTGACCTCCACCTCCTGAATTCAGGAGATTTCTCCTGTCTCAGCCTCCAGAGTAGCTAGGACTACAGGCACCCACTACCATGTGCAGCTAATTTTTGTATTTGTTTTTTATTTTATTTATTTTGAGACGGAGTTTCACTCTTGTCGCCCAGGTTGGAGTGCAGTGGCGCAATCTCGGCTCACTGCAACCTCTGCCTCCTGGGTTCAAGCGATTCTCCTGCCTTAGTCTCCTGAGTAGCTGGGATTACAGGGGCCCGTCACCACGCCTGGTTAATTTTTATATTTTTAGTAGAGATAGGGTTTCACCATGTTGGCCAGGCTGGTCTCAAACTCCTGACCTCAGGTGATCCACCCACCTCGGCCTCCGAAAGTGTTGGGATTACAGGCATGAGCCACCATGCCTGGCCTTTAATTTTTGTATTTTTAGTAGAGACAAGGTTTTACCATGTTGCCCAGGCTGGTCTTGAACTCTTGACCTCAAGTGATCCTCCTGCCTCAGCCTCCCAAAGTGCTGGGATTACAGATGTGAGCCACCATGCCTGGCTTAGGTGTTGAAGTCTTCATCAAATGTTTGAGAGTGATTGATCAGAAGATGTGTATGGAAGTGATAAGGGGTGACAGAAGATGAATTTTCATCTGAACAAAAGGCCAGATTTTAGAAAAAGAACAATAGAAAGCTAAGAGAGAGAAAGCTCGGAGGCCGGGCGCGGTGGCTCAAGCCTGTAATCCCAGCACTTTGGGAGGCCGAGGCGGGTGGATCACGAGGTCAGGAGATCGAGACCATCCTGGCGAACACGGTGAAACCCCGTCTCTACTAAAAAAATACAAAAAACTAGCCGGGTGAGTTGGCGGGTGCCTGTAATCCCAGTTACTCGGGAGGCTGAGGCAGGAGAATGGTGTAAACCCGGGAGGCGGAGCTTGCAGTGAGCTGAGATCCGACCACTGCACTCCAGCCTGGGCAACAGCGCGAGACTCCGTCTCAAAAAAAAAAAAAAAAAAAAAAAAAAAAAAAAAAAAAAAGAAAGCTTGGAAAGTAGGTCTGTAAGCTCTAACAGCTTTTTTTTTTTTTTTTTTTTTTTCCTAACATGCATGGGAGTAGGGATAGAGGTTGGAGGCAGGAGGCCTGGAAGCTGTGACTTTTTTTTTTTTTTTTTTTTGAGACGGAGTCTCGCTCTGTCGCCCAGGCTGGAGCGCAGGGGCGCGATCTCGGCTCACTGCAAGCTCCGCCTCCCGGGTTCACGCCATTCTCCTGCCTCAGCCTCCCGAGTAGCTGGGACTACAGGCGCCCACAACCGCGTCCGGCTAATTTTTTGTATTTTTAGTAGAGACGGGGTTTCACCGTGGTCTCGATCTCCTGACCTTGTGATCCGCCCGCCTCGGCCTCCCAAAGTGCTGGGATTACAGGCGTGAGCCACCGCGCCCGGCTAAGCTGTGACTTTTAGGAAAACTATGTCTCATTTAAATAAAGTTGAGGAGGGAACTTTCTGTGACCAACCTGAGCATGTAGGGGAGTTTGTTTACATTGAAGTAAGGTTCCACGGGGCACAGTGGAAAGGTTTGGGAGGGAATTCAGGGATGGAGGATGGGTCATTGGGGAAGAAGCTGGGAGCTGTGTAAGGATGAGAATTAAGAAGATAGATGGCCTGGGAGGGGGTATGTAAAAAGGAGAAAATTAATTTGCTTCATAAATAGCCCAGTAGATTGAATTAGTGACTGGGCGCAGTGGCTCATGCCTGTAACCCCACCACTTTGGGAGGCCGAGCCAGATGGATCACCTGAGGCCAGGAGTTTCAGACAAGCCTAGCCAACATGGCGAAACCCGTCTTCGCTAAAAATAGAAAAATTAGCTGGGTGTGTGGCAGGTGCCTGTAGACCCAGCTACTTGGGAGGCTGAGGCATGAGAATCACTTGAACCCAGGAAGCAGAGGTTGTGGTGAGCCGAGATTATGTCACTGCACTCCAGCCTGGACGACAGAGCTAGAGTCTGTCCCCAAAAAAACAAAAAGTAGACTGAATTAGTTTATTCTGCTGTATTTAAGAGATCTAATTACAGTTCTCTGCTGTTTCACCTTCATTTCTCTGATACGGAAAGATTTGGTTTAATTTCCTTTAAAATTATATATTTGTATTTTTAAATATATATGCATCACATCATTATTGTTTTTCAAAGTAAGGGTAATGAGGTAAATGAAAAGAAAGCCTCTCCTGAAAACCCACTACCCAGGGACATTATTTTGGTACATATTTCTCCAGACTTTTTCTCAGCTAACAAATAATATGTGTGTTTAGTTTTTGAAGATGTACTCAGTATACTGTGGTCACTTGCTTTTTTTTTTCCATACAACATCTGGTAAATATTCTTTGTAAAAATAGTTAAACTGTTGGCATCATTTTAAATTGTTAAAGTAATTTATTGTAGGACCGTATTATGTTTTAATAATTTGTTATTGGACTTTTGAATAGTTTCTAATTTTTTAATAATAAGCCTAGATAGAAAAACCTTATATGTACAGCTTGGCTATTTATTTGAATATTTCCTTTAGGTAAATTTCTAGGAGTTTTCAGGTATACTTTTTAGTTTCATTTTTGTCCCTTTTCTCATAATTTAGTGTTTGGCTGTGAAATCCTTTTTATGTTGCTAATTTTGGAACATATTTAAAGTATATTTGATTAACAGTATGAAATCAATGGAATAGGCATATATTATTTGTAAGATAACAATTTACCATTGTTTGACATATATATGTGTGTGTGCGCATATATATTTTTATGTATATATATTTATTTATTATTATTATTTTTTTTTTTTTTTGGAGATGGAGTCTCGCTCTGTCTCCCAGGCTGGAGTGCAGTGGCGTGATCTCGGCTCACTGCAACCTCCACCTCCCGAGCTCAAGCGATTCTCCTGTCTTAGTCTCCTGAGTAGCTGGGACTACAGGTGCATGCCACCACACCTGGCTGCTTTTTGTATTTTTAGTAGAGTCGGGGTTTCACCATATTGGTCAGGCTGGTCTTGAACTCCTGACCTCAGGTGATCCACCCACCTCGGCCTCCCAAAGTGCTGGGATTACAGGTGTGAGCCACCGCGCTTGCCCGACATATGTACATATTTTTAAGAGATAGGGTGTTGCTCTGTTGCCCAGGCTGGAGTGCAGTGGTGCAATGATAGCTCACTGTAGCCTCAAACTCGTGGGCTCAAGGGATTCTTCCACCTCAGCCTCTGAAGTAGCTGGGGCTGCTGGCAGTGTGCCACCATGCCCAGCTACTTTTTATTACTATTATTATTATTTCGTAGAGACAGAGATTTGCCATCTTGCCCAGGCTGGTCTCCAACTCCTGGGCTCAAGCGATCTTCCTGCCTTGGCCTCCCCAAGTGCTGGGGTTACAGGCATGAACTATTGATGTATCTTTAATAGATTCTTTTCCTTAGGTAGGAAAGCCAAAAACATTAGTCTGCAAACCTTCAGTTTGTCTTCTCCCAAAGGACTTGTACATTTTGGACTTAGGTAGTGGAATTGAGATAATAGCAAAAATTGTTAAAACTCCAAGTTAATATTCTCTTCTGAATGCATGGAAGTGTTTAACATTGTTGTCTTTGATTACTTTTTTTCCAGGTGATTCATGGCAGGGGACGTGGAAGGATTCTGTTCCTCCATCCATGACACCAGTGTCTCTGCTGGGTTCAGAGCACTGTATGAGGAGGGATTGCTTCTTGATGTCACTCTGGTTATTGAAGATCATCAGTTCCAGGCCCATAAAGCACTCTTGGCCACCCAGAGTGACTACTTCAGAATTATGTTTACTGCAGACATGAGGGAACGAGATCAGGACAAAATTCATTTAAAAGGTCTAACAGCTACTGGTTTCAGCCACGTCCTGCAATTTATGTACTACGGTACTATAGAGCTGAGTATGAATACCGTTCATGAGATTCTTCAGGCAGCCATGTATGTTCAGCTTATAGAAGTGGTGAAGTTCTGCTGCTCTTTTCTCTTAGCGAAGATCTGCCTAGAAAATTGTGCAGAAATTATGAGACTCTTAGATGATTTCGGCGTAAACATCGAGGGAGTCAGGGAGAAGTTGGACGCCTTTCTGCTAGACAACTTTGTGCCACTCATGTCTAGGCCTGACTTTCTGTCCTATCTGAGCTTTGAGAAGCTCATGTCTTATTTGGATAATGATCATCTGAGTAGGTTCCCAGAGATAGAGCTGTATGAGGCTGTGCAGTCTTGGCTGCGGCATGATAGAAGACGCTGGAGACATACCGATACCATCATTCAGAATATCCGGTTTTGCTTGATGACCCCAACCAGCGTTTTTGAGAAGGTTAGTGTGTTTGAAAGTAATAGACGGTACTCATCATTTAGTTAAGGCAGTGTATGTCTTTATAGGTAAGATTCACAGACTTAGTTAGGAGCCAAGAATGAATAACTTATAAGAGTACTTTATGTGTAAGAAGCCTGATTTTTTGTGCATTTAGGTTTTCTGAAATACATTTTGTGGGTGAAAGATAAACCACGTAGGTAGTAGAATAGTTTTATTTTAAAAGTACTTTTAAAGTTGAAGCATAATTATTTTATGCAAAATATTACATGTTTGCTGTAGCTTTTCATTTCACAAATTAAATCAGAACCGAGTCAGACTAGATCTCTTTTTAAAAATAAATTTAAGTAATACATGCAGAAATTGGCATTGAGAAGAGTTCTGCATGGTATACATTAATAGAGTTTCTTATTCTTCTAAAATATAGCAAGGACATACAAAATAGCTCTTGAAAACCAATAGGCCCTAATGGTGATTTTCTTCCCTACTCTTACTTTCTGGTTTTCCCTGTTCTACTGTGAATAGTAACTAAATTTGACAATGAAAACATGTTATGTGTCTAAAAACATCATTTTGGCATTTCTAAACAAGTAGACTATAAATCCTCTGTCTACATTGATCAACCATCCCTGGGCACATTTTACCATCTCTTAAAAATAGTCTTTCTCTGAAACAGCCTTGCCCTTTTTTTGCATGTAAGCATGTTCATTTTTATAGAGTTTCACTTGTGATCCTTTCTTGCCCAAAGGTCATAGAGCAGATTTAGTAATTGTTTAATAACTTAATTGGTTTCTAATCACATGGTTACCTCTGGGGCTCTGTTTACTTCTTGCATCTTCTCTTTTTTCTAGAAAGCACACTGAAAACTTGGTCGGTCACCTTTCATGTTAAATAGTTCCTCAGCTTTAGTTATTAGACCTGGTTATAAAAATATCTGCAAAGGAGGGTTGTTTATGCCATTTGAAAAATAAACCCATTTGCGCCTTTGAATAACAGCAGCCTGACATTTTTTTTCCTCCAAAATGCTGTGAAACTGAGAATTCAGTTTTGTGGATTTTTATCTTTTATTCTCAGAATGTATTGATACAGCAAAAATAATTGAAACTAAAGTATGTGTGTGTATATATATATATATAATGTTTTTTAAAATTTGAGATGGAGTCTTGCTCTGTCGCCCAGGCTAGAGTGCGGTGGTGCGATCTCGGCTCACTGCAAACTCCGCCTCCCGGGTTCAAGCGATTCTCTTGCCTCAGCCTCCCGAGTAGCTGGGATTACACAGGTGCCCGCCGCTGCGCCTGGCTAATTTTTGTGTTTTTTAGTAAAGACAGGGTTTAACCATCTTGGCCAGGCTGGTCTCGAACTCCTGACCTCATGATCCACCTGCCTCGGCCTCCCAAAGTGCTGGGATTACAGGCCTGAGCCACCCCCCGCCCGGCCAAGGATATATTTCTTAATTATTTTTGGTTTAGTGATAATCAGCCCTACATCAATTATGTAAATCATTTGTCTCTGATGTTTTGATTTTTTTTTTCCTTTTGTTTTTATTGCTTTCTTTCCCTGGGGAATCCTGTTTTGTTTTGGGTTTTTTTTGGTTTTTGGTTTTTGGTTTTGAGATGGAATCTCACTCTCGCCCAGGCTGGAGTGCAGTGGTGTAATCTCGGCTCACTGCAGCCTCTACCTCCTGGGTTCCAGCGATTCTTCTGCCTCAGCCTCCCGAGTAGCTGGGATTACAGGTACCCACCACCACGCCTGGCTAATTTTTGTGTGTTTTTAGTAGAGACGGGGTTTCACCATCTTGGCCAGGCTTGTCTCAAACTCCTGGCCTCAAGTCATCCACCCGCCTCGGCCTCCCAAATTGCTGGGATTACAGGCATGAGACACTGTACCTGGCCCCTGTTTTGTCTTTATACATTAAATGCAAATTCTTTCCCACTACTAGAACAAAACCCCTCCAACCTCAGTCTAGATGGAAGGTACTATGAAATAAAAGGTGAGATTTTCCCTCTTGTCAGACAATATGATAGATAATTGATAGCAGTAGATTTTCTTTTTTTGAGACGGAGTCTAGCTCTGTCACCCAGGCTGGAGTGCAGTGGCGCTATCTCGGCTCACCGCAACCTCTGTCTCCCAGGCTCAATCGAATCTCATGCCTCAGCCTCCTGAGTAGCTGGGATTACAGGTGTGAGTTACCGTGCCCGGCCATAGTAAATTATTTTAAGTGCTGAGCTTCAAAGCCTTCTTATAGTCCAGTGATCAGTTCAAGGCAAACAAAAGTGACAGTAGCTGAAAATTAACACTAGACTATCAGGTAATTTTGCAAATTGTAAAAAACGTCAGTTATATCTACTGGTGGATTCCTTTGGCATGTGCAGCATAGGAGGTGGTTATTACCCATTGGCCAGACATTGGGAGTTATCAGAATAAACATGTTGTTAAGGCTTCCTTCTGGAATTATTTTCTTAGGAAAATTTAGTAAGGACCTAGCCACAGAGAGATAATTGTTTTTTGTTTTTGTTTTTATTTTTGGAGACACGGTCTCGCTCTGTCACCCAGGCTGGAGTGCAGTGGCACGATCATGGCTCACTACAGCCTCCCTCTCCTGGGTTCAGGTGATCCCCCCACGTCAGTCTCTGAGTAGGTGGGACTGCAGGTATGCATAACCATGCCTGGCTAATTAAAACAAAATTTTTTTTTTTTTTTTAAAGAAGTAGGGTCTCACTATGTTGCCCAGGCTGTTCTCAAACTCCTGGCCTGAAGTGATTCTCCCAACCTGGCCTCCCAAAGTGTTGGGAGATATGAGCCACCATGCCTGGCCTATGTCTCTTTTAATCTATGAGGATGTTCAAACATACAAAAAGTCGAGTAAATAATATAATGACCACTTGTACAGCTATCACTTAGATTCAAGAACTGTTAACATTTGCTGTATTTGCTTCATATCGATTTTTTTCTGGGTCGAACATTTGAAAATAAGTTATAAATATCATGACACCTCCTCCTATATACTTAACATGCTTCTCCTAAGCGTAAGAACTTTTTCCTACTTAAGTACAATACTAAAATACTATTCTACCTAGGAAAATTAGCAAGACCCTAATATGGTTATCTAATCTTTCTTCATCTAGAACAGTTCTTCGCTCTTTTTTTTTTTGAGACCAGACCACCAGTTGCCTCAGTGTGTCCTACATTCTGGATGTCTCTGATAACTTCCTTGTGTTGGTGTTAACTTAGTTCTTCTATTCCCTTTATTTCCTACTAACACATCTTTTTAGCACCATGTTTTTCAGGAACAGTTACAGGAAAATGTTGACTGCCAGAGAAAAACTTGGAAAACTACTCTAATCAAAGTAGCTAAGTAGTTTCTATGAACTTTGTATTATGAAGCGAAGTAGCCCAATTCTAGGACTAAAATCAAGAATTTTGTTCATACTATTCGGTATTAGGTTTCTTTTCGATTCCTAAAATCTCCTCCCTCTTTTTGATTTAGAACACTTCCATTTAATGTATTGGGATTAAAACTAGCTAAAGTGTCAGTGATTCTTGAACTGCATTGTTCAATATAGTTGTCACTTGTGGCTCTTGAACACTTGAAATGTGGCTACTCTGAATTGAGATTTCAAAGACTAAGATGATAAAATGAATGTAAATTACCTCAATTTTTACATTGATTACATGTTGAGATTATATTTTGGATATATTTTCAACAACTATATTATTAAAATCAACTTCACCTTTAAAATGTGGCTACTAGAAAATGTAAAAATTGCATCTTTGACTCACATTTGTGGCTCAGATTCTATTTTTATCTCACAGCCCTGCTCTAGAAGTTAAGATGTGTTGTTCAATAGAAACTGTCTGAATGTGCATACGGTAAATAGCCTTTCTCACATACTTAACCCTTCTCCCAGATTTCTAGCCTTTAGAAACGTTATGTACAGTTAGTGTTAAATGAACTTTAACCTACCTGATGATTCTGTGGATTGGCTGGTGAAGATAACTGTCATTGAGTATAGCATCTTTTTGTCAGGATCCACCACGCACGGCTAATTTTGTATTTTTGTAGAGATGGGGTTTCTCCACGTTGGTCAGGCTAGTCTCAAACTCCTGACCTCAGGTGATCCGCCTACCTCAGCCTCGGAAAGTGCTGGGATTACAGGCATGAGCCACCGTATCTGGCTGGAGATTCTTAATTCTTCCTTTGGTAGTAACAGATTTGAGCAGTGACTTAATAGTGTAGGGAAGGGGGCATTCTGCCTTTACCCAAGGAAAAGCCCCCATTCGTTCTAGGGACTGAAGTCATGTGCTCTAGCTGTGCTGAAATCTTTGGGTTTATCCTTCTGCGGTATCTATGTAGTCCTCTACTGGATTTTCTCCTTAGGTAAGATAAGATTGTCTTAACTTTTTTTTTTTCTTTTTTTTAGTATACTTTTTTTCTTTTTAAATATTTAACATTTTTTTGTAGAGATAGGGTCTCACCTATGTTGTTCAGGCTGATCTTGAGCTGGCCTCAAGTGATCCTGCTGCCTCGGCCTCCCAAAGTGCTGGAATTATAGACGTGAGCCACCGTGCCTGGCCAGATTGTCTTAATTTTTGTACTAAGTATTCTGTGGAACCATCCCTGAAGAGGCCAAGGCTTCCAAATTTCCTGAGTTCCTTAGAGGCAGCAATACTCTTTATCTGAACACTATGTGCGCGCACGCACACACACACATACATTTATGCTACGTCATGCACTGAGTGCTCTACTGTACATACAGGTAGCATCTACATGTTATCCCCATTTTGTAGATAAGGAAACAGGCACAGAAAGGTTAAGGATCTTATTCCAGACCAAGTGGCACTGTCTAGGCTGAAAGCCAGGGCAGCTTGCTTCCCAATCTGGGACTTCCTGTTACAGCTAATAGAATAGGGAGAAGACCCTAAAGTGCCAGAAGCATGCTGTTAACCTGTGGCCCAGCCTGGGTCATTCAGAAGTTGTTACAAAGCTATGAAAATTCTAAGCT